TCGTGTCCGCAGATGGCTTTAGCTTCTGGGTGTCCATCTCTGCTTCTCCTGAGAGCTATCTAGATGTCCTGCAGATCGAGGGTAGACACGTGATGCCTCTGGCTGGTAGTGGTAGGGAACACCAGGGCCAGCCCGGAAGGCATTATTATCTGACGACTTCTTTCGTTGTTGCCACATAGACGCCAAGAGCTTCCCAGTTCTGGTTTTCTTTCTGAAACACAGTCTTCAGTTCTCCCAGCAGCTCTGAAAACCAAAATGAAACCGAGTTCTTTCCTGGAAAGAGCCTAGCTGATGGAGACCCCTAACCTGAGGCTCTGTGGGAAGAAACCAGACACGTGAAGCGCCCAGCCTTCACCTCTCATTAAGCACAAAGGGCTTGGTTTGAGCCAAGGATTTTTCTAATTAAGGGAAAATTTGAAATGTCACTAACCCAGTTAAAATCCTTGTGTCTCAAGCTGGGATTGGCCAACCCAGTTCCTAAACCTTTAATTCTTGTCTTCTTCATTTTGCAAAGGAGAAGGCAATTCTTAAGTCCCTTTCATGGTGAGACAATTTGTGCTCCATCAAGAGAAAGTACTGGAAATCAGTGTCACTTCAGTTCACTCCTGTTAACATGCTCTTCTTTCTTCTTTTTTTTTTTTAAAGAAGTAATTTTGTTCTATTCACTGCTACCTCCCAGTACCTAAAATACTTAAATGTTTGATGATCAAATGAACATGACAAATGGCTGAACAAGAAATGGCTGATGAACTGAGGTCTAGCAAGAAAAGGCATGTAAAAGACGAAGTGGGATCATATGACAAGAACAGAGCCGCTGTAAACAGCAACATCACGGCCACATGACTTCTCTTATGAGTAGAACTCGAGGCTAGAGGCCACAGTTTGGTAATCAGTTGATTTCAGACATGTCTTTGGCATGTACAAAGAAAACAAATAACCCCAAGTCTGTTCAAATGCCTTTATGCTCACTTTTATAAGGCCGTGGATGGTCATCACATTTAAATATTTACGATGCTTCTGAAAAACTTTGCAGGAGAAAATATATGAAAAATAAAATGTACAAAGTTCTTTATTAAAATAGTACTTTAATCTATTAGAAGCAGAGCCAGTGGCTAGATCCCGATATTATGGGCTTTTGAGGCAATCACACGGCCACACTGCAGTCGTCCCCAGAGGAAGAGATGGGAGAGACTCGGGTGCAGTCAAGAAGCCATCCTCCAGCTACAGCTTCTACCTGGGGCTTAGAAAGTAGGAATGCCCACAACACGGCTCTTTGTTCTTTTTGCTTTTCTTGGCCTTGGCTGGTTTTTTTCTTTACTTTTTTTTTTCACATGTTGAGGGATTTTCCTTTTCTTCTTCTCTCTCTGGGCTTCCTTGACCATCTTTTTTCTTTCCCTTTTATCAACATCGGGTCAGCATTGTGTTTTTTTTGCACTGGGCATTATCTTCCCTGCTCAGAGCACTGGGAACTTCTAACATCTTCTGAATCCAAACAAGTCTTTTCCTTAACTTCACTTTCTAGGAGTGCAGGGACCTTCTGGACTCCTGACAAATCTTTTTTCAATCCCGTGTCAGTCTGCTAGAGAATATTATCTTGTTGAGTATTCAAAGCCGTGTCTTCTTCCTTCATCCTCATCATTATTCCCACATCTCTCTCATACTTTTTCACTTCATTCAAGGTTCTGGGGATATATGCTTGCTTGAATACCTCTTCATCCACATGACCTTGGCTAGTCTTTTCTTCCTGGTCCTTTGGGATGCTGTTTCCATGGCCATTTCAAGATAAGCATCCATGTTCCCAAGGATGATGGAAGGATCTGTGACAAACTCGAAGAGCTCCGGAGCAGTCGCCACAGCAACAGCATATATATTTGAAAAAGAAACCATTGACATTCGCACAGTCTTTTCTCCAATGCGTGTGGGTGATGATGCTCCACAGACTGGGGGAACATCAGTGATGCACACATCTCCACCACGGTACAGCATGTTGAGTTCACTGAGATCCGCACGGACAAGTCTAGCGTCCTGATACATTTTCCTCATGTACTGAATGACCTGCAGGTACAACTCCTGTGCCTCCCATCCTGACAAATGGACGTTTTTCAAAAGTGGTACAGGCGTGTCATCTTTGCCAATGAAGCCCATGAGAAGAACATGACTTCTTAGCTTGATTGGTTTTGGACACGGTATGTGTGCTGTTGTTAGCCTGGATAAATTCCTCATTTCCTTCTCTGCCCACATCTTCACCCATTTTTCTAGGGTTTCCTTCACAATAGCCATGAGGAAATCTAAATTCTTCAGTTACGTGGCTATTCACTTCAATGGTCTTTTCTAAATAAAGCATGTGTACGTTTACACACACACACACACACACACACACACACACACTCCAATCATGTATTTTTCTTATCTCTTCTGGGCCAAGATTCAACTTTACATTCTCGGGGCACATATTAGGACCTGGAACTCGTGGAATCTGAAAAACATTCATTAAGTACTTAATGATACACCAGTCATGCTAAGTGATGGGAGTTTAAAAATGTATCTGCTATAATCCTCGTTTTTGAAGCCCTCAGTCTTTGGAGGGAGAATCAAGCAGTTTTAAGGGCTGCGCTGGAGACAGCTTTAGGAGTGCGGAGGTGGGAAATGAGTAATTTTGCCTGAGGGAACTGGGGAAGCCTTGAAGACAAGGTGAGCTTGAGACAATGTGTGGGAGGTTACTAGACTAAGAGGGAAATTCTGGCTCAAAGGAATGATACACTCTAAAATCCAGGGGCGGCAACCAAAGCATGGAATCATGGGCTTTGCTGGGGAGAAACTCAGTGGGTCTTATGTGTCTTCTTGGATAACAAGCAAGGTGGGGCAAACTCCTCTGCTGGGCACACCGAGGCCGGGGTTGTGGGTTCTAGTTTCCTAAGACTCTCTGAGCATCTCTGAAACAAGAGGACGATCCCTACAAACCAGAACCTCCCACCCCATTCCTGTGTGTTCACAGAACAAGTGGGGAGCCTAGGTGAGAGCTAGTTCCCCCACATCTTTTTCCAGGCCCAGCTTTCCTCTCTGGAGAGCTGAGTTGAAACCAGAGAGGGAAAGGGAAAAAGGAGTTTAAGCTAATTCCTCACACCAGCTTGGAGAAGGTTTATTGTCATCTTTACACAGAGGTCATTCCGCCCAAGCCGTACCCTGATGGTGCCCTTACACCTTTCTGTGTGGCCTCTCCAGTATCTGTGTGTTTTGGCTGACAATTGCTGGCCTTCCTATTTATAGACTGTTCCTTGTGTTATTCACTTACAGGGTTTCTGTGGCCCAGTGTTCTGTCAGGTCCCAGCTGCTCTGTAGTATGTAGCAGCCATTAACACCACAGATGCTTTTTTTACAGTCTTCATCCTACAGCCTAGCTCAGCGCTCTTTGGTGAGTTTAAAACTGTTAGCTTCAGACACATATATCTGGGAGAGGGGAGGTGAGAATGCTTGCTGTGTCAAAGATCTTTCAAAATTAATACAAATAAATAAAAGTCCCCTATTAGCCAAATGATAAAATACTCATTTTTGCCTTTTCAAGATTCAGAAGAGTGAAGAACTATTGGGAAGAAAGTATTTTCTGATTGATCTAAACCATGCCAATGTTTACTCTTTCATAAAAGCAAACTTGTGGGGGCAGAGGGAAGAGTGGAGGCCCCCCCCCATTGCTTTCTTATAGCCCATTTTAAGATGACCAAAGACTGTTATCCAAATACTGAACTTCCGCTTCCAGACAGAATTTTTAGCATCCTCTGTAACCACTGGCTAGGGCATCTCCCTATTCCGTAATAATCTGCTCTGCCCCTTTGACAGTTTTAGCAAATAATAGCTTCCTGGAGCTCTATTCACATCCCATAGAACTCATTCCTTTCACAGCCTGCAGTTCAGTGGCTTTGAGCATGCTCACCAACCGTGGCTCTCCAGCGGCACAGTCACCCAGCGCTTGGTTCTCGGGAAGCTCATTTACTAGACGGAGCATCTATCACCACAAGATGAGGCGGCAATGGCGTTAGCTCATAACCTAAGGAAGAATCTGTGTTAGTCAGAGGAACATGGCCCATGAAGTATTTCACATTAAAAGCTAAGCTTTAGTAAGAGGCTTTCTAGTTTGTGTCGTCTTAAATCCTTGAATATTACGAAAGAACACTGTGGTTTTCAGGGACACACAGGGACTGTGACACAGCGCATTCCTGCCACTGTTTGCCAGTACTAATATTGTATCTTCCGTCTCTGTAGGACAGTTCGTTTCTTATTCTAGTGATAACTAGAATAAGAGGGACACACTCTGGGTTCAGCAAAGGGGTCGGAGAGAACTGAGACACAGCTACTTTTCTTACAAAGCCCATGACCAGGTGAAGACAAGCCTGGACACCTTTGGCCAATCACTCATGCCAGGAATGTATCTGAAAGTAGCCCTTCAGGGGAAGGGCACAGGACCACCAGGTAGGGACAACAGGAGCTATCCGAAGAAGTGGTATTTGACATGTCTTGACCAATGAGTAAGATTTTGATGTAAGTTACACAGAATGTATACTGTAGAATTTCACAGGAAGGAAAGTATTTGAACCTATAAACCAAGAAGGAAAAAGCCCTAAGTAGTTCAGATTTAAATTTCTTCAATGCTTCTTATAACCATATTTTTTTTTTGGCAACTTAACTGAGTGTTTAAAGATAGTTTTCTTCTTTCTAAAATGGACAAAATACATGCCATCAAATGTTATAAAGACTAACTGGTAATATGTTAATAGATGGTCTTGAGAGTGTCTAACACGGTGCTCAGCAGAAAGCTGGACTCAAAGGATTTGTCTGCCGTGTGGGGATCTAAGGGAAGAAGGTGGAGGTTGGATCCATGGGGCAGAGGCTCTTGATGTGGTCAGGAGGCTGGGATTTTGTTCACAATGTAAGTGGAAGCACAATGTCACCAGAGCTGTGCACGGATGGGAGCACACAAGCTGGCTCCGTGCTCGCAGTCATGGGGGCATCTTGTGAATCTGAGATGAGACAGAACATAAAAAATTAAATAAGGAGTCTCTGCAAAAGGCTTTATGCCAGCCGGCTAGCCAGAGTGTCTACCAACTCCTTACATTTGGAAGACAAAAGGCAAGACGGTAAGTCTATGTCCTTGCAGCTGAGAGAACAGTAATGCCACTAGCCAGGAAGACAGAGTTAGAAGGACAAGAGCGCACCCCGGGATCTTGCCGTATCTTGGAGACACCTGCATGAAGTTGTCAAGCAGACAGAAATGAAGATTGTAGTGTACAAGAGAGGTCCAGGCTGGAGACTCTGCCAAGTCAACTGCCAAGAATGAAGGGTGACAAGATTTCCACAGGAGAGTTGATTGGCCGTGAAGAAGAGAAACAAAAATGTGACCAGTGCGGCGTGTCTAACAAGGCTTGAAACACGGAGATCCATCCGAGTGTGTCAAGGACTGCTGAGACTTCAATTGCTGCGAGCGGGGGGGAAGGAGGGCTGCTGAGGAAAAGGCCACAGGGAGCCTTTTACTAAACCAACAACACAGCTGTGAGTCTCTGATAGTTCCGATACAGGTACTTGAAACGCGCCCGCTGCCAGGTCTTTCGTGGGACTTGACAGTGAAGGACTGAAAGCCAAGCGTTGTTAACAAGAAAAGGGGCTCTCAGATGCTTCTCGTGACTGGGCTGGTTATTCCAACTTCCAACTGCTTTCTGAGCCGGTTTTTATTTTACATTATTTATTCATTCATTCACTCATTCATTTATCATGTGTTCTTTGTACGTGTGTACGTGTGTGTGGGGGGGGTGAGCCCTGCGCACATGTGAAAGTCAGGGGATGACCTGCAGGGAGTCAGTTTTCTTCTACCACGTGGGTCCCAGGAATTGAACTTGGGTCTTCAGGATTGCTGGCAAGTGCCTTTACCCACTGAGCTTCCTCTGCCTCCTCCTGTGTCATTTTAAAACAAATCTTTCATGCGAGAAGGATTAATATCCTTTTCACGTCCAGGATAAGGTAAGTCTAGAGGAGAGATTTGAAATAGTGTTATGATCCATCATAGAAACGCCTTTTCACAGCCAGGAACACAAAAGCAACAATCGATCTCCACCCTAGATATATAGAAATTAATAAGAAAAAAGAGAAAAGAAACATATTTTAGTTGCTCATGAATAATGCAAACATGAGCACCATTTTTATAAACTATATGACAAATTAGAGTAAACAGAATCTATATATAAATTGATTTACAAATGTAATAGCTTTCTTGCTTCCCTTAAGCAATATGCTTTTTAAAAGAATCTCATGTGCCCTGGGGAGTTACATAGGCGTATATATAACAAAGCATGCCTGGTGAGATCTGCAGTTTCGCTCAAATTAATCACTACTTGCCAACATTAAGGGAAAACGGTAATTTGTAGGGCTACAGTGAATACAAAATTTTTAAATTATGTTGTGTCCTAAGGGGAAATTAGCCACATAAAAATGTATTTTCAATAAAATAGATGGGAAAGTACAGGATCCTGGTCCTTAGTAATTTTAACAAGGGAACGATATTTTTTTTGTTATCACTTTCATTATTAGCTTGCACGAGGATGCTTATCAGAGCCAGTCGTGGTCCTAAGAAATTGAAAGGAGGAAAATAATGTTCAAATCAGACCTCCATGATTACATGCCCAGTTCTTTAGAGTTCTCTCGGTTCTGTATCACGCCGCCCGCAAATGAAGTTCCTTGCGTAGAATGAATAAGAACTTAAAGCAGACAGATTCCGAAGCCTTTGCATGATAGGGATCTGTAGAGTAGGTTGGATGGGGAGATGAGCTACAGTGGTTTTGTTGAGAAGGTTCAAGTGAGGGCCCGCTCTCTGTAAGGGGTTTCTTCTCTCTGGCTACAGCATCTTTAAAAACATTTCTCTGAGCAGCTGTAGATCATGGAGAGCGGCAAGCCCAGCCAGCAGTCCCATGATCACAGCAAGCTCCGTGGTTTCTGTGGGAACCCCTTCCCGACAAGCCTCACTTCGTTCTATGAACAGCAGCTCACAAGCTCTTGGGTTAAGCCTGCGTCTACTCACACATGTCCACGCCTTACGGTCGCTAACAGTCTCCTTCCCTAAATGAATCCCACTGTCTGACTTTTTAGTGCCCCATTAAGGGCGGCTGTGTCTTAATGGTAAAACAAACAAAAATCCACACCTCATCACGTGGACAGGGGTAGCCTCAAATGTCTATTCACTGACAGCTCCTCCATGTTCTCTTTTTCGGTCTTTACTTTTGTATTCGCAAATATTAATTGCATTGTGGACCACCAAGGCATTTCCATACATGGATATAATAATGTATTATGACCACCTTTCTTGTTCTCAGTTCTCATGATCTCCTTTCTCTTCCCAACTGATCCCTCTTTGTCTTCTTTATTTTAAGTGACTCAGTGAGTTTTATCAGGGTGGCTTTCCAGGACTATGAACACCTTCCCAGTCTCTTCACTTCTGAATTGAATTCCTCTTCCTTACCAGGGAGGGGTGGGGCCTCAGCCCCCACCCCCACCCTTGCCTTGGTCTGAATGGTCCACCTCTCATTGTGGCTTCATCCGTTTCCTTAGTAACACGGAATGTTTTGAATCTCCCACCAGCTCTCTAGCCCTCTTCCCTGTCAGTATTTGACTGAAGGTCCTCACCCTGCAACAGTCTAACTGGGAGATGGAGCCCCACCGGTTACTTCAACCGAGAGCTTTTATCACTGAGGAATTGTTAACTTGTAAAACATTCATCTGGCAGCGAGAAGGCAAAAGAACCCTCAGGTCAGATCCGTCACAGTGGTTCCTATAGGAAACCGCGCCACCTTTTCTGCCAAGGGAACACAAGAGGAGGGAGGCTTGCGCTGTTAAAGTCAGAACTTGGAAAGAACCCAAACTCCAGTTTCAGAAGGAAAGGACAGGTGACAGAATTAGAGTGGCCAAACGGGGAACCTGGCTCTGTGGATACTTTTGTAATGCTGGTCCCCACAGCTGCACCTCGTGTGCTGGTGAACGGTGAGCTCATGGCTGCGAAGACGGTTCTGTAGTTCGGGGCACTTGCAGGTCTTGCAGAGGACCTGGGTTCAGTTTCCAGCACCTACATTAGGTGCCTCGCAACGACCTGAAACGCCAGTTCTGGGGGGGGGGGGGGGGGGGGGGAGGGAAGGGTGAGCGGAATCTGATACCCTCTTCTGGCCTCTAGAGGCACCTGCACAAATATGGCTTGTACACACACACACACACACACACACACCTAACATACTATGCTGTGGCAGGCTCTTACTATTTTCTTTCTTTAGCTTCCATTGCAAGAGCCTAAGGAGCAACCAACTGACACACGAGAAACCCGGTCTACGAGCCCAGCTCCAGCATCAGAAAACAATCATGGAAAGTGAATTTGGAGCAATAGATAAAAATTGGCCCCAACCCCATAGCCTCAAAGAATACTCAGAAACCTATTTCCTGAGCCCAGGAGTCTCTCTGGAGCCCCAGACTCATTTAACTAGGCCTCTGCTGGAATAGTTATTTGGATGCCCCGCTTTGACATCAAATGCAAGACACTCTAAGTTGCGCTCATCTTTCTCCTCCCCATCCCTAGCCCTACCCCCTTCTTCACTCTTTTCTCCAGATGAGAGAAGGGCACCTCTGCATGTGGATGAAGCCCTCCAGTGTCACCCTGTCTGAACACCCTTGCCCCTTTACATGAAGTCAGCCATCAGCCTTTCTGTACCCATCTCTCCTTACTGGAGTAAGGCATGGTTTTCTACTTACTCTCCCCATCTCTTGTCTTTACTCTTTGCTGTATCCCAGGCTCTAATTTTCTGCAGTGATTCCATGTGCAGACAACATCTTTCTAAAAGATGTTGCTTGCCTCCCAACTTCTGAAAGTCCATTGCTGGCATTCCCTAAGCTTTGAAATCACATTTTCTTTGGCATACGTAGATCTTCAGTCTTAATTCTTACCTCCAATTCTGCCCCATCCCCTTTCCCCATGCAGCCTGAACTCGGTGCCCAGAGCGTGCTAACACCGCTTAGCTTCACCACTTCACGTAATCTCCCTCTCCTCTAGATAGCCACATCTCATTTCCGTTCTGGATTAATCTTCCTACTTCCTGTCTCTAGCCCTTTATCTCCCAACCCCTTTCTGTCCTTCAAGACCGAGCAAGTTTTGACTCCCAGGAACATTCTGTCTCCATCCTTCGCCACCCTCCTCCCACTCCAGACTGTTAATTCCTCACTTACAAGACTCCAGATCCATTTGTGGTGGACATTGGGGTGATGTTGCTGAGGGGGAAAGGGTAGGGGACCTAGAGCCAAACTGTCCATGAGTCCTAGACATTTTACTGTCTGTGAGACCAGCCCACCCCTCACTTCCACATATGCGAAACTAGCCTTACAACACTGTGATGGCTTCCTGACATGGTACCATGGTGACTAAATAATACATGCGAATAAATCTCACGACTGGATTTCACTCGCTGCTTTCAGAGCACCTTCCTCGCTTCTCTCCCTGGCTCTTGGTGAATGTTGACTATGCCACCCCAGAGCACAGACGGACAGTTTTTTAGAACAACACTGCCTTTCTGTTCCTCCACTCTCAGATCTGTTCATTGGGGAAGAGCCAGGACCCGACGAACACTGAAGTTGCCCTTATTCCATAATTCTTTAGAGATAGATTTGAGCCTTGTGTTTTCTTAGGCATGAGGGATGCCTCCCCCCGCCCACCCCCAACCCATTTCCTCCAGGAGAAAGAATGAATGCTTTGCCAGCCCTGGGATGGGGATGTTTTGTCTTGGAGTGGTGTTCAAGTCAGTTTAGTGGGAACTCCATTAACGTTTTCATGGGAAGGATGGAATTGGCCAGCACCCTACTTCTGCCTTCCAGCTTTGCTAGACTTCTGGCTGGGCCCATGGAGAAGAATTCAGTGATGCATGAATTGAAGCAGCCCAGCTTCTTCCCTGTGGGCCAGTCAGCAGTAGCCCGGGCTACACCTTAAGATGAGTGTTCTTCCTACACATGTATTTCTATTTTTGAACCCAAGTTCCAATGGGAGCATAAAACGTGCTACTCCAAAGGAGATGACCCCCTGCTAACTCTTTCTACCACACACAGAGAGAAAAGGAGCCAGCGCAAGTGAATAGAACATCTCCAGAGAGACTTCTGACCACCATGCATGAAGCCCTCCAACCATCACTCTTGAGATAGCCATATCTAGGGACGGTGTGTGTGCAGAAGGAAGACACCGTGCGGATTTCGCTTTTCTTTTCTTTCCACCAGACCTACTGTTGACTTTTCACAGATTTCCCAGCAGAAAAACGAGGGTGGATGATAGCATAGGAGAAGAATGTTCCACTGTGGCCAGTTCATGCTCCTCCAGAGAGTGACTTGCATGCACGTGCAAGGGCGGCTGGGAGTCCCAGTTGGCTCGTGAAGCCAGTGGGAAGGCTTTGTTATTCCCTGGGAGCTAGGGTGCAATGACCTCCATCTTTCTTTCCTCTAGGAGGATATAGCTCACACTGGCTCATGTCCTGTTACACGCTGTCACCTCAGATGGCCTCGCAGCTGAACCACTAAGCAAGTTAGCAACAGCCCTGGCTACACAGTGTCTTACTGGCTCCACCGCCCGTAAGTATATCAAGTCTCTGGCTGTTCTCCACAGTGAGGGAAGCTAGGGAAAGGGTAGTAGAGGTAATGTTTTTTTTTTTTTAACATGATATTTAGCACCATTTTGTAAAGGAAAAAGCAAGTGGGCCTAAATTTGGGGCAAGGGAGCTGAAATATTGATGACCTACAGGGGAACTTTCTTCCCAAGCAATTACAGGATTGACCTATGACTCATGGTCCCTGAGAGGGCTTGTGTATTCAACTTGCAAACTCACAAAACCCAACAGTGTGTAAGAACTCAGCACGTATTTATTGTCACGCTTGTTTCTTGTCTCACGAGTATCTGCTGTTTATACCTAAGATACTGCAACCAGTTCGTGAGCTTGCTTTTTAATGCCTCCAGATTGCTGTGCCCCATGCCTGGCTTATGGCAGGTATGGTGGTTTGAATGAGAATGATTCCCAGAGGCACAATTTAATAACTGGTCCCCAGTTGGTGAAACTGTTTGGGCAGGATAAGGAAGTATTGTTGGTATTGGCTCTATCGACACAGCGTAGTTCTATAGAATCCTGTAAGAGTTGCCTTGTGGGAGGAGGTGTGCCAATGGGGGTGGGCTTTGAGCTTTCAAAGGACTGGCACCATCCCCAGTGTCTCTCTTTGCCTCTTACTTTCAGATCAAAATGTGAGCTCCCACAGCCACGTCTTTGGTCTGTCATCATGGACTCCAACCCCTTGAAACTGTAAGCCAGTTACACACCTTCTTTTATAAGTTGTCTTGGTCATGGTGTTTTATCACAACTATAAATAAGTAATAAAGACAGAGGGGAAAGCAGAAAGATAGTAAGCTATTATTATAGAAGCCTGCTCTGGACTATCAGTGAGAGATATCTGATCTACTTCTAAGTTAGAGAGAGACACAATTTCAGAAATGAAGGGGAATTTATGTTATTTAATTAATATAAAGAAGTAAAGATACATGTACTTAGTTGGCCTTTGAATATAGTTTTGTTGAAATGTATTTGGTGTATTTATTCCTAATTCTAAATATTTTTTGACTAGAGTTGTGAGAAGCCATTTCTTAAAAAATAGTGAATTAGATAAGGCTATTTCACACTTTTCATTTTTAACAAGTGAAAATTTGTTGAATTGAAGTTGTTCAGAAGCCCGTTCTGTAAAATGGAGCCAACGGGACAGCTTCAGTGAAGGTCACAGGACTCTCCCGGCTGTTGTGCCCATAACATCACATCCCTAGAGGTGCCCTGGTGATAACGGTTGAAATAAGCAAAAACCAAGAAGCCATCATCATCAGTTACCACGGAGTTTTAAATCGCAACTACGGTGAAATATTGCTGTACATCAATCAGCATAGCTAAAGTCAAGAACGAGAAACCCAAAACTGCTGGTCCTGGTAAGGACCGGCAGACACCTGAATGCCCAGGTGCTCATGAGGGAACAGGAAACAGTGTGGCCATTCTGAAAAATAGGGTGGCGGTGGTCAGAAACGCCAAACATGAGACTACTGTGTGTGACTCGCTGTGTGTGACTCACAACTGCAGTTTCGAGCATTCTCTCAGGGGATCGACAATTTATGTTCACACAGAGACTTAGGCCTAAATGTGCATATGAACCCCATATAACAGCTCCTAGGTGTCTTTCAACAGAAGAGTGGTTAGGCAAACTTTGGTACGTCCGTGTGACAGAATGTTATTCAGCCATATAAAGAGCCAGTCACTGGCGCATGGAAACAGTCTGGAGGACTCTATAGAATCATGCTGTGTCAATAAAACCAATGCCAAGAGGTCTTATCTGTGTTATGTTATTTGTTTAGCATTCTTTAAAGGACAAAAATTGTAGAAAAAGAAAAAAAAGATTTGCATTCCTGGGGACTGGGAGTGGGGGAGGGAAGTGGCTGTGGCTTTAAGAGAGAAAGCTGGGGGATTATTTTTGGTACCAAAAATATTTTTTATCTTCTGCATATTATTGGCACCATTGTCCTGGTTGTCATATTATACTGTCCTTTCACAAGGTCCTGCAGTTGGGGAAACATCTGTGTGAAGGGCACATGAAAATGCTAGCTAGTTCTTGCAGCTGCATGGAAATCCATGATTTTGAAATAATCTTTAATCATAAGATATTGCTGTCTCTAAATCCCTAAATTCTGGCCTCTCCATGCAACTTTGCTGTGGATGCCACTTGTCCATCATCTACCTTGGCACACTGGAAGGACTTACCATTCTAGAGATAGCCAGGCTGTCCCGTCACGTAGGGAGCAGAGATCAGCACTAGGGGAACCTGGAATGTAAGTCCTTCAAGGGAAAGAAAGCAAGACTTGTTATCTGTCCAAAAGACTGGGCACAGAAACGCTTTCTAGCCTGGTGACCTTTGCTGTGTGTGACCTGAGACCACACTGGGTCATCTTCCACCCCCCACACCTTTATCTTAAGTTCATTTTTCTCAATCTATAGAACCTATCATTATGGAAGGTGTCATGCGTACTTTACAAAGAGAGTCAATATAGTCAGTCATGTCTGATTTTTACTTAGCTCACTTTGTTCCTCCAAGACATTTATATGTGCTTAATTGTACACATGGGAATGAGTTAATTATCACCAGAAACATTTTTCACTGAATTGTGCTGTGCTTACATATGCATAAGATAAACCACTCAGGGTCAGGTTGAACCAACACCTTTTGAACCAAACTGATTCCTTGCCTCCCTCAGATCATCTCTCTGCAGGCTTGTGAAGGTTGCAGAGACACCCCCCATCTCCCCCACCTACCGCACAGCATCAGGAAAATACCAGAGCCAAGCTCACCGTTCTCCAAACTCAACTTCCTTCCAATACAGTCAAAATACTCACTTGATTTGATATCCCAGTCAGCACAGGTTCAGCGCCGGAACAGGCCTGCCGTTCCAGTCCAGGTCATGACTTATCTGAGCTGGATAGACCTTTAGGTGATAGGCAGCAAAACTAAGCAACCGACACAACGCATAGCAACATGGGATTATTGGTTAGTTGGTGGCGTATACCTTCCTTGGTCTGAAAAAGAACTTAGGGCGTTATTTCTAATCATGTCTTGTTCACTGGGGTAAGTTTATTTGAGGCCCCCCATTCTAATTCTGAAGAAACTGGGTAGTAAATGGGATTTTGCATGCTTGACTGAGTTAAATATCTTGAGGCAGGAAGCGGATTCTGGATTTTCCAGATGGACAAGATGAAATCGTGAGAGTGCGTACTCCAGGAAAGAAGGCGGTCATGAGAGAAGGCAAACTAGGAAGAAAAACAGAGGCCGGAATGATTTGACTGTGAGCAAAGGAATGCTGGCTACCAGGAAGCCGGAGGAGGGGTCGAGTAGATTTACGCCAGACACCTTCATGGGTCAGTCCTACTTGTCACCTAGATCTCACTCTTACAGGATCCATTTCAGATTCCTGACTGCATCAACCACATGAGAAGAATCAGTGTGTGTTGCTGTAGTATCTTAAATTATGGTTTGTGGCAACCTGTTACATTAGCAACAGGAAATTAGACTTAGAGCCTAAGATAAACATAAGAAGGAGCTTGAGCATCCTCCCTCTCTGTCTAATTGTATTAGGGGTATTGATCTAAGGGCTGGGGCCATAGCTCAGTTAAAGCACTTGTGTAGCACACACAAAGCCCTGGATTGGATCCCCAGCAGCACAGAAACTAAGCATGATTGCTCAAGCTTGTAACCCCAGCACTAAGTGTGTAGGGGCAGAAGGATTAGAAATTCAAAGTCATTCTTGACTATGTAATAAGTTTGAGGACTCAATAGAGCACACACACACACACACACACACACAGAGAGAGAGAGAGAGAGAGAGAGAGAGAGAGAGAGAGAGAGAGAGAGAGAGAGAGGGAGACGCATGCATACACACAGCGCATGGAGACTTGCCGAGGTAGCACAGTGCCTTGTAGGTATCACTTTTCCATATATAATACATCCAAAATGAGGATAATTTGGCTAACCCTAATTTTCTAAATGTTCAACTGAAAGCTATTTAAAAATAAACCCATTTTTTTTATGACAGGGTATCATCTTCAGAATGTTTTTGTCTTGCCATTCTGAACAGGCAGGTCTCCCCTCTGTAATACCCACTGTCCTCCAGTATGTTTCAAGACTACATCCAGCAATGCTGACAGACTCTCTGCATCTGTTCATCATCCTGGGATAAAGTTCATTTGGATGTAGAAGCTAAAAATGACGCGAATTCAGAAATAGGTCTCTATGTGACAATGACCCAGTTATCCTGTAACCAGTGGCCAGAGGGGGATCCCCAGAGTCCTTCAGATTCAGGGATCGGGGCATTTCTGTTGCCCCGTTTGTCTCTTCCCAGTTCATAAAGTTGACTCTGTGTTGGGTCACATGCAGTGCTTGGGGACACAAAGGGATTTTCAGAACGGCAGAAGAGAAATTGCAGTGTGTGCCATGATTGTAAAAACAATCCTTCTGTTGCTTTGGCCAACTTTGATGTAATGGCTTTTTTTTATGTTATTATACTTTATTTTGTTATGTTTTGTTATCTCTTAGAAGCCTGTTCTTTTTAATGAGAGACAGAAAGGGAGTGGGTCAGGATGGGAGGGGAGGTGGGGAGGAACTGGGAGGAGTAGAGGGAGGGGAAAGAGGATTGCTGGATCTATGGTGTGGGTGTGAGGAAAGAATCTATTCTCAATAAAGGGGGGAAATGACTAGTCATCTGTTGGGGTGATAAGCTGGGCATCGTTTTATTTTGGCACAAGGTGGTATCTGTTTACTTTTTTCTCACAATAGAAAAAGAGAAGCCCCAAAGCAAGGCCTGGGATTTGTCACAAGTAGGAAACCAGTTCCTAGTCTCCGGGATATTTGACCTTTCATCTAAAGAAGAATGTAGGAAGCGCTGCGGTGCCTCCCTGACACCCTTTCCCTCCTCCCTCCTCTCCTTGTAACTTAGGGCTGGGAAGGGGATGAATTCACTCCCAGGTTTGGTGGTGCACTCAGATTCCCCAGGGGCATTGATTAAGGAGGACACATGAACAGCAAGGTGGAATTCCAGACATTTGCTAAATGGTGGGCAGGGAAGACTGTGGCCTGCCTTTCACGGCTACCAGCTAAGACACAAGGCAGTCTGAAGACAAGCCCCTCTATCAGGAAGGAGGAGGAGGGGAGGGAAGGAGAAGGAGGGAGAGGAAGAGGAGAAGGAAGGGGAAACTGCTATAGAACACAGTCCTTAATCAAATAGAATCTGGCATTCATACAACCTTAGCACCAGCCTTTCTTAATCAAAGTTCTACCGGAGGAAGACCCAGGGCCCTAAGTTATACCCTAACTGCAGTGAGTGACTCTCTCATGCATGGTTGGTTCCCTGCACTGCTCTTGGGAGAACCAAAGTCTCTGAAATCGCCTCTGTGCTCCAGGCTTCAGATAAGCCTTGGGTCAACCAGGGCAGCTCAACTTTCCGTTAGATAAACTAACAACTCACCTTTATTGTCTAAACCGTTTTACATTGAGATATCTTCTTCGTGCAGCTGAAAGCGCCCTGACTGATGCACAGACCAGCATTCTTTTGGAGACTGTTTTTTTTCCCCCCTGTACTCCATCAGTTGGAGTATGCAATTTCCTCGACGGGGTGGGAAAATCTGGTGCCGTTGATGCAGACTCCCGCAGGTTATCTGAGGAATCTGTGCTCTGTTGCATTCAAACTATGCTGAGCAATGCTCAAGAGGGTTAGTCCAGCAGAAAGAGTTAGCAGTTATAAACTGACAATAGAGACTGAAAATACATGGAGAAATCCAAGGGAAAAACAGAGACCGCAAAAACGCAGCATGACTCATCATTACCTTATATACCACTAATCACAGGAATGTACAGTGGATTAACATGAAAAATATGCCAAATGTGTTATTAGACTGTGTAACAAAATGTGTAATCACCCAAGGATATGAATTAAAAAATTATACTATTCAAACCCTCTCATGTTAAAAACAGTAGGAAAAAAAAAAAGAAAAATAAAGGAAAAAAAAAGCAGTAGGAAACAAGAGCATTTATACACTGTGGAAAAAGACGCGTGCTGAACACGCAGTGGCTGCCATCAGTGGAGGAACACTGTGGTCATAACCCTGAGGCCATGAACGAGACAGGAACGTCTGCTTTTATTGCTGCTACTTAAAGCCCTGGCAGCAGCAAAGTGCATTTAACTAAAAGAAACTAAATAAGAGGCACCCAGGTCAGAGAGGACAAGCTCAAACTATTTTTGTTTGCAGATGATGTTATACAAGAAATCCAAAAATCCCCCAAAACACCTTTCACACCTTTGGTTCCAGCACTGGGGAGGCGGAGACAGGTGACTCTCTATGAGTTCAAGACTAACCTGGGCTAGATAGAGAGTACCAGGCTAGCAAGGGCTGCATAGTAAGAATCTGTCTTCAAAACAGGCAACAAAACCACCTAAGAAACTCATTGAAGAGCCACTGTTGGGGGATGATGACCTGGAGGATGGCTCAGTGGTCAGGAGGACTTGCTGTTCTTACAGAGGAGAGAAAACTGGCTTTGGTGCTGGCATTCACATGGACCTGATGCCCTGTTCTGTCTTCCCCAGGTACCAGGCGAGAATGAGGCACACAGGCACACATGCCATGCAGACACTCACATAGACAGGTAAAATAAAAACCAGTAAATCATCTTTTTTTTTAAAGAAAAAAAAAAACTATTTAACTAATTAACAGCTTCAGCAAGTTCGCAGGATAAAAGATGAACATAGAAGTTAGTTGTATTGTCACACACTGGCAACAAAAAAAATCAAAAATTAAGGGATAAT